CACACACACACACACACACACACACACACACACACACACATCAATGATGCCCAAACCAAAGACAGACATCAAAATAAGAATTTGTGTAAACAGAAGACCAATATTTTAGGAATGCCAGCACACATACACAAACACTCTGATCCCGAAAAACTGACATACACCACACAATTTCACCCATGTTGTCTAAAATGACAGACATGATTCTCCAAGGGGGAAAAAACTCCAAGAAAACCAAGGCATATTCTAGTTCTAAAATATATTACAAAACTGTAAGAAAGTACATAACCAACCTAAATTGTAATCACTAGATGTCAATATTTGCCTTAACACTTTGGAAAAATATACATCAAACAAAAACTAAACATTAATTACTGCATGCAAAAAATCACAAATTTCTGAAACACAAATTTAGTACTAAAGGTAAAACATATCTTTTGTACTTACCGTAACTTTACTTCCAACTATCTGTATGCAGTGGTCAACGGAGAATGGTTACAGTGTGAAAAAAAACAAACAGCAATAATATTAGTAATCAGAAGCTTTGAAAGAAGGTGTTTAGTAAATTAGTCACTAGTCTACTCTAGTAACAAACTTAAAACAAGATAGCAATATTAATGTGTGCCATTTTAAATATAGAGTTTACACATACAGAAAAATTATCATGATGTTGTAGAATTCTTTAAAGTCTGCACTCTAATAGGTTTTCCATGCATTACAATCTAAATATAAAATAAAACTCCAATATACACTCAGATAATTTCCCTACTCACAGCCACTAAAAGAAATTACCAGTAGGAACTTTTTCCAAATTTTGCTCTCGTTTTCTTTCCTAGCTATGGTAAAAATAGTGTTAAGGTCAGGGTAAGTTATTTTAAATGACAAATGTTTCATTTAAAGTCATGCATCAAGTTCTGAAATGAACTTGACTTGAAAACTGAATGTTTTATATTGTTACAAATTTAAAATGTACAATATCATTTTGACTTATACTTTTAAATGATAAGACACATTTGTTATTATTTTTTTCTGGGTCATCATACTGTTCCAAGTATGAAGTCAGGGTTCTCTATATGATGTGAAAACAATGTATTTTATCCATAAAAATGCACATATTAATATGGAGGAAACAGATCAGAAATTTCAAGAGACGAAGCAATTTCTGAGAGGCAGGACTGTGCTTAAGAAAACAAGAGGGAACTCTCAACATAAACATATTCTTATGCCAATATCAAAATATAAGTCCAATCACTGTTATCAGATTCTCACACTTGAATATTAAGCATTGTATCAAAGAGAGCTAATTCATGATTCATGTGATAACAGTTATTATCAATACCTATTGTATTTTTCAGCTAGTGCTTTAAAACAAACATCAAATTTAATTGAAAGCCAAGTAAGTATCCTCAGCTGACTAAAATACTACAAGATACAAAAAGATAATGGTGGCTGTAAACGATTTCAGAGGAATCCCCGAGCCTCCAAATGAAGAAGCAAGTTCCTTAAAAATTCATATAACACGCTATTTACAAGCAGTGATAATTTAGATGAATAGAAGCTTCTTTGGTGTGACTAACAGTCCTCTGAAATGAAAGATATGCTATTGACCTAAATTATTTCCTCCCACCAAAGAAGACAGAGTTTATATTTGTCCCTTGTTTCCTTAGCACAGACGTGAGACCAAAAGGAAAGAATGAGAGCCTGTGTTAACAATTAATGCAGGTTCGTAGTCAGTGAAACAACTAAAATGTTGCCCATTCAAGGTCTGTTTTAATGATTTGATCAGATTGCAAAATGATTTCATTTAGCTAAAGCACACAGAGAAATATATTAGATTGATTAGTTAAGAGAACCAAGGAGAAAAATGTTTGGTCCTATCTGGGCTCAACTGTTTCTCCTTATCCATCCCATGTATGAAAAGGACCTGAGGAAAAAGTATCTGAAAATGGCAACAACACAGCCACAATAAGTGCATACATATTGTCATGTGCACCGTAGCTTTCATCTACTTGTTTTATTGGTTAAATCTACAAATTTGAGACACAACTGATCTAATGATGTTGGATTATGTACTATTGAGGGTTTGGGGGGAATAATTACACCTCTGAATGTCTCACACATTGTCAAAAGTGTAATCTGACATGTCCTAAAATCTAAATTTCAGAAGGTATAATTAAAATTAGAAATAAACTGCTTTTTTCATATTGTCGTAAGGATAATGGTGTGTGATGCACTAACATTAGGTCTCTGGTGGATAACATTTCCTAATGAATGTCTACATACTCTGTTAGGAGTATGCAAGATCTTCTCTAAATCAGCAGCATAATGTGCCTCATTCTGGGTTATGAATCAGTAGGGCAGCTTTAACAATACCAGCAGCTTTTTTTCCAGTTCTGCAATGGCACTTTGAAACTATACAATCTACTTTGTTATTTGTAACAAAATAATTCATATCGGCTAATTCTCTTAGGTCAAGCCTAGAACGGTACCTCCTACAATACAAGCATTTGGCTCCCAGAGCAATAAAAGCACACTATGTTCTTCACATACCTATTTAAAGTTCACTCATCACTGGGATATTCAATCTACCATTACTTTAGCATACACAAGTGTCTATTATAGAACTTTACAATAAGTGTGAAGGGATGACCAAACAATAGTTTTACAACATTAACTTGTAGTTTCCTTAATATCCTCTTATCCAATACTAATTTTAGCAAAAATTAATGATGCAGCACCAGACTTGTTTGTTTTAGAAACAGGTTCTGACACATATCTGTGTGCTGCTTCATCATCTTTTAATGCCCTTTCCTCAATGAGCTCACTTTATCATTATTTAAATTCCACATAAAAGAACAATGCAGTTCATTAAAGGGGAAAACAATTTTACATTAAAATTCAACTATAGGCCTCCTGTATCTTACTTGTGACTATTGAACGTTTTTTGCACTTTGACACTGGTTCTACTCTCAGATGAGATCTTTGATTACCTACAAAGACTTTTTATCACATGATAGGCATCATCACATCTGCATTAAATGAGGAAACATCTTTAATGAATATACGAATACAATGGAAAAGAGTAAAAAATGTACAAGACAGGCAAAGCATATTTAACACCTTATGAAAGCCAGACAGAAGGGCAGGAACCTAAGCTCCACACAAGCAACAGCCACACATTCAGTGATAATTGGTGCAAAATTGGCTGTCATGATGATGAACAGGTGAAAGCACTGTTTCCTATTGAATGTTGTTCTTCATCGAATGACATTCCTCTTATCTTTAAAGGGAAATTACACAAACAATTTTCATAGTTTTAATGACAGAAAACAGTACTAATTAATGTCTCTCCAAGGTGAGAAAGCTTCAAAACACTACTTGTCAACAGGCTCTCTTCCATCGAAATATTTGGCCCATGAAAAATAATAGCAACAACTATAATCTTGGAATTCCTGTGAAAGAAGAAGAGCTAACAAGCACACTGGATGACAGAAATAAGGGCCATCCAGTCAGTAAGTAGTACTAATTTTGTGGCTACTTCAAATGGAAAATTTCATGTCTTGTTAGAAACACTCCATATCTATCATTTGAATTAAGGAGTTAAAATAAGCTCCTGTCTAGCCTCTTCCCTTCCCCCACCTTTCTGCATCTCCTCCTCCCAATCTGTCTCTGTGCTAGATGGAATTCAGAGCCTTAATAGGTTAGGCTGGTGCACTTCCTGCTAAGCAAGAGCTTCAGCCAATTGGTTTTCATTTCAATATGAAAATGAGCATAAGAATTACAAGGATACATTTATTTGGTGGGTTAAAGAGAATACCATATGAACATAAATTAAAAATGCTGTGCATAGATAACGTGTAATTATCCAAAGGACAAGGCATGAGAATGTCATATAATCTTCATTATAGATAATCCCACTTACCCAAACAACACCCACAAATGAGCCAGAGATGCTAACAAATTCCATCATTAAAACACAATATCATTAGTCATATATTATTTCTACTTTATACTCATATAATATTATATATATATATATATATATATATATATATAATGCTCATGGCAAATTTCACTTATCACTTGAAACATATTTCTGCCCTTGGATACCAGAACCAAATTAAAAAACATGCTGTTGCTCTGCTCTGGCAGAGCTGCAATGCATTATGTTTAAATAGTTCAGCATTCAGATTTAGCTTGCCTAAAGTACAATATTGAAGCAATATAATTACAAAATTCTTCAGTTGCTACTGGAATTAGTATACTAAAAAGTATGAATGACATTACCAAATGATGCTGGAATTTACTTTTACAGTTAAGGACATTTTCTTCAGTGGATAATGTTTTAAACAGAAAATACTTTGTCCTAAATGCATGTGTACAAATACAGATATGTAATATATTCATATACGTACATATAAATTTTGTATGTATATATATGAATGCATGTATATACACACATGCACATAGTGATTTTTTGAAATCTAGACATATAAAGCTCATTACAAGAATACAAGAGATATATTTTGTCATATCAATAATATATAATTTCCTACAAAAAATCAAATCTGAAGGTTGCTTTTCAAAGAGCTTTAGAAGTGTAACAAGAAAAAATAAACAATTCTATTAAAGGAGTAAGTTTTTCTTGTTGACAATAAATTCTTTCAATGAAACAAACGTTTAGGTTTTGAAATTCATACAGATTTGATTAAAGTTCCTGGTGTTTGCTTTCCTTTATATTAAGGTGAGCTTTACCACACAGGTTATGAGGCAGCTTACACAGTTTGCACTCAAAACAACAAAGCAAAATATGAAAAACATTGTTTAAAAGTACATGCTTCAATGTAAACTTGATTAAAGGTGGCTGGGCTGTTTGTGTTTTCTCCCTCAAATCTGAAAATTTCATGTAGCAATCTGTTTAGTAGGTAGAATACCAGCAAAACACTGGAAATTTTTAGTGACTGCATAAAGCCTCTGCCCTCAAATTCACTGAATTCAATCAAGAGACTTCCATACTGGTCTCTTGCTTATAATCATGGATCTCTCATGTCTAATAAACAGTTCAGTACTGAGATATATGTGCAAAATATGTAAAAGTGTACACATGTCGTTTCCTTAATTGGCAATATGAATTCACTGAGGCAAAAATTTAAAGAGTTGAGGTTTGTTAACCTTTAAGCAAACAGCTAAGCTCATTCTGTTGGTGCCTGGGAATTGTCCCTACTTACAGATTTGGCAGTAGCAGAAATATACTGGACAACCATCTCACGCTTGGTGGTAAAATCCTTGTTTCGTAAAGGAGCCTTCTTTTCTTCATTCAGGTTCATATCCTCCTATTAGAAAGAACATCTACTGTGAGAATGGATGGATTGTTGTGTAAGCATCACAAAAGTGATTAATGCAATTAATATTTAACAACAGACATATTTTGGGTTATTATTTACTACTTGAGATACCATAATGTTGTGTGTATTTCACATGTATTCATGATTTATACTTCTCCCTAGCTGAACTGTGAGAAGAAGAAAACTAAAGAAAAATTTTAAACTATGCTATGGAATACTTTGGTGGTTCATAACATAGATGTACATTATACAGTCCTAGAAAAACCATTCACTTATCTCTACAGCAAATACACACACACACACACACACACACACACACACACACACACTCGTGCACTACTCTTTGGTCCATGTTTCCCAAGGACCACTGTTACCCAAGAAAACATATGTGATAGACAAATTTATCAGGAGATACATCGCCAAAGAAAAATTCTCAGAAAGTTGTTGTATATGAAACAGAAAAAAGAGGAAATCTCTCTCTCTCTCTCTCTCTCTCTCTCTCTCTCTCTCTCTGCATTCATGTATGTATGTATGTATGTATGTATGTATGTATGTATGTATGAGAAACAGGAAAAACTCTGTTTTAAATTATCAACCATATACATGCTTCATTATGAAGCTTCACACATGTATGAAACATACTTTGATCATGTTACTCCCCCTCTGCCACTTCTTATCTCTACACCTGTTCCTACAAACCATTTACTCTTATAAAATATTCCCCTCCTTCTATTGTAGCTGTCAGAAAACTCACTCATAACTTACCCATTTGTGTGCAGTTTAAGGTTTGCTAATGTTTTCCTTATAGAAATAGATACAAAATACATTCAGGAAAATTTTAAAAACTATTAAAGTCAAAAGACATTGACTTTTTATGTCTTCTTTTAAAATTAGAATCACTTATTTATTCAACATATAGTATACATAAGGAACTGTGCTAGACTGTTAACACTGAAAAGTTGAGTAACTTTTTATACTCAAATTAAATGCTATTATTTGTGAAGCAATGGCTGGACCTTAGAAATGTTATATATGTTGTTGACTAAAGAAACATAACTAATTCATGATCTAATAGGTACAAGGAATTATAATGGAGACATGTATGAGATTCCTTGAAAATATAAGACAGATGGTAAATAAGTTCAGCAAAGATTTTAGCCTAGACTTGAGTTATGAAGAATGAGAAAAATCTGACTAACAGCCAGGAGACCAGTTGAAAGATTCCAGTGGTCATCTGTCATTTTTGGCTACCCAACACGGTTTAGACATGCCTTCTACGTTTTCATGCATCCTCACATTGTCAATTTCAGTTTAAAAATGACTCCATAAAAACGGAGTTTGTCTGCTATCCTTATATGTAATTTCAATATACACATGTGGCTTAGTCTTCACCAATGAAATGCATTTATAAACTAGGTGAAGAAATAGGCCAGGAACAGGCCATCCATCTTGCTGGTGTGGGTGGCAACAGAGATGACGTAGATAGGGAGCGGATGGCAGCAGCCACAAATTTTTTACTTAGACAGACCAATTGGTTCTGGAGTGGCAACAGCTCCTTAATCAGACTATATTTCACTATGTGGCTCTGCAAGCAATTCCTATAATGCCATCTGGAGTCTATTGTTGCAACACTCCTGATTGAAGAGCAAGCTAATATCTCTTAATACTTAGTCTACTTTTAAACATCTACATCATGTATTTTTCCTTTCAAAAATGTGAGATACTGAAGCATTTCAAGTGAATACTTTAATTGTCAAACTAAAGAGGATGGTAGCAGGATTTGAAGGGAATTAATTTAAGAACCATGCAAATGTTTTTGGACGTCTGCATTTTCTCGGGCTAAAATATACATATACCAGTTTCAATTTATGTTCATGTGACATCACTTAGAATCTATCGCTACCACTCTCAAATATTCTGAGGCTTCTTCTTCCCCTTGAAATAATATACATCTATTCATTCGACCTTGAATTTTACAGGGTTATTGGCTAAGCACATCATTCCATAGCCTCATATTGCTCTGGTTTTCATCAAAATTCCTATGTTCTCTCCACAAGTGTTGGAGTTTTTACTGCCTCAAACATTCTGATGACGTTTCTGTCTGAAATAAAAGTAGTTACAACGAATCTACATGTCCCAAGTACAATCAACTGTGCAACTGTCAGAATTTTCTGGATGTGTAAACATCCCCACATATCCTAAAAGAGTAGTAGTATCCTCTCTCCTTCCAGTGATAGCTCCACATTGGTACCTCCATTTGATTTTTAGTGGCACGCACTGCAGTGGTCAGGCCATCAAAAATGGTGTTGTCAGAATAACAGGCAAGGCAGTAAGAGGAATGTAAGATTATATACCTCAGAGAATGTTGTCAAAATTGAGTATGATCATATATATCAAGCCTGGTGTACATTAACCAGTGCCCACAGAATGGTATCTACCACTACGGCTATCAATTCCTCACCGTCATTTTGGGAACTTCTTCTGGCTTAACCCTCTATGCTTCAATACAAGGTCGGCCGTGATTGTTCCACATACTATGCTGACTCAAACTTCCCACTGTTGTTCCCTTTGCCACCTCTCACAGTGTGAGCTGCTGCCTCCAGCTAAATCTACATCTGGCCAGTTCTTTTTTTTTCCATTTTTTTATTTGAATTAGAAACAAGATTGTTTTACATGTCAATCCCAGGTCCCTCTCCCTCCCCTCCTCCCCTGCCCCCTTCAGTAACACCCTATCTATCCCGTACCTTTTCTGCTCCCCAGGGAGGGTGAGGTCTTCCATAGAGGGTCTTCAGAGTCTGTCATATCCTTTGCAATAGGGCCTACCTCCTTGTGTCTTGCTGGCCAGTTATTATACTTTAAACTACACTCATCCGCTAAGCTTTCCATAAGATTTTCTGGATTGCCCCATTTCAAAATGGAAACCTTCATCCTGTTCTTCCATACTAATTTTATTTATAATTAACAATTTGTCAGAGAACTATCACCATAAAACTCTAAGGTAACTGAAGGCAGGAACTTTCTTAGCTCTGCAATCCCAGGTAAGATCCTGGTCCCTGGAATACAGTAAGCACTTACTAAAATTTTTTGAGGTGGGGTGATATTTGGGCCTTTTCTTTAAATATTGAAATTGCCTCAGAATTATTAGCATTTTTCACTTATGAAATGGCTGCCTACATTGGTTAGGAATGGGTAACGTTCATATGAACAAAAGAGTCTATAATGACTCATTTAATTCTTCTAGAAATAAAAAATACTACTAATTGTGCAGCTGATACTTCCAAATCATTAACTCTAGCTTTAAAATATAATAATAAAACTAAATAGAGCAATGCTTGTAACTCAATATTAACTCTAGACAACATAATTGAATACGAAACTACTTGTGAACACAGTTCTTTTGATAGTCAAAAGAGAAAGCAAGTTTTAAGCATATTACATGTCTGTTTAATGTATCAACAATATATGAGGAATGTAGTGCTACAAATGATGTTGACATTTAAATACCTGACCACATAGAATAGTTTTCAGCAAAGCCATATTTGTAAATTGCAACACAAATAATAAAAACCTAGAGACAAATATTGGGATTCAAGCTGAAGATTAGAGAAGCAAAGCAACCAAGCCACAGCATCTCTTTCCTGTCTCTCTCTAGACACATTCCTTTACTACCTCAAATATTGTTTGTTCTTGTTGTTTTGCTTTTATTTCATTTATTTATTTTGGTGCTGGGACTTGAACTCAGAACCTCATACATATACAGCAATGCTATATTACTGACCTACATATATAACCCCAAACACTGAACGACTACAGAGATACAGAAGGAACTATATAAAAATAGAGTAAGATGAGGTTAAAAGTTGTACCAGCTAAATATTACTTCATTTAATCTTTCTTTCTTTCTCATCCCTCTCTGGTTTTCTCTTTTCTCTGCCTCCAAATCTTAGGCTAGAGAGATATAGACCTTTATGGAAAATTAATTAATGTCACTCTAGTACCTAAAATATGCAAGTGTCAATAATAAATTTAATTATTTTTGATGTTTTGCATTTCAAAATTAGTGGAATTTTATAATGTTATTTAAACAAATGATTTTCCTGGTTGTGTGGGTGGTAGGTAAGTTTAAGTTTGGTTGTCTTCTGTTTTATTGACACAGGGTTTTGTTGTGTAGCTCAGGCTAGCCTAGAACTCATAATCCTTCAACCTCTCAAGTATACATCCCTATACCCAAAACTTTATTTTCTATTCCATAATTCTAGCTTTTCTGAACAAAACAAGAACAAATATTTACTTCTTAAATTAAAATGAAAATCAGATTTTTTTTATGTCATTTAATTAGTGGCCAGTTGACCTGGCAGTTATCAACTGCCTCAAGTTTTCAAAAGATTTGGGTAACTCTATTAAACTATATAGACTATAGCCACATAACATATAAGAGCTCTGGTAGCAAAACAAAGTCAAGTGGACACAGTGAAAAGATAGTACTTCTGAATATAGAATGAGGCTAAACACAAAGGCATACATAATATTAAGTGAATATTACTAAGTTTCATGCACAACTTCCTGTCTATTTCTTTTTTCAAGGTCCTGTCAGAGGCCTCCACCCAAAATCATGTATTTTAATATAAGAAAACATAACTAGAGTTTTCACTGTCTAATAATTGCTAATTGTGAGTACAATCATCAACCATTATTTCTAGAGTAGACAGATTACATAAAGGACCCATGAGGGTTGAAAAATGGCAGTCATTCAAAAGATTAAAGAAAATAAGATTTACTAATACCTAACAGAGAATATACACTAGATTCTTCTTTGGACCCATAGGTTGAATGGTACCCTAAGTAGTTTAAATGAGCAGTGAAATATTCACAATGCAGATTTATTTGCAGTCAGTGTACTACAACACACTACAGTTAATGTTAGGTATATTTACTGATTATTTTGTCTCCTTTTAACCAAATAAGCCCTCAGAAAATAGAAAATCAAC